TAGGCATTAGATTGCCAGAGAGTTTGGCTGGTTGGCTGGCTGGCTGCCTTTCGTCTGCATCGGGTGTGTGTTTGCCATCTTGGATTAAATGGAAGGACGTGCGCGTGAGCCTGAGTCGGAGCTGCGAGTCGAAGCGAGGTTGAGCATGGCTCCGCTTCTGTGTGTTGCTTACAGCCAGTTCCAACAAAGGGTGATTATCGCGATTGGCGAAATAGTTGCGGCATTAGTTGAAGTCTGCCCTCACTGGGAAGAAGGCGAAATTACCAATTCACTGGCACCAACTTGGTAAACTTATTATTGTTAATCTTGCGTTCTATTTTCTTCCACCTGCTAACAGGAACTAGCTAAAACTAGCAAAGCTACGCAAAATGGCGCCACTGGGCTGCAGATGCAAAATCCATGAACCACAGCACGTCCTGTGGGACAAGTGCTAGGTCTTATCTAAATCATATACTAGACTCTTGATACTTATGGTATTGTCAGCAACCACCGAAACGGTCATCAACTGCATTGAAGGACAGGCGGCGGCAAAGGCGCAGGCCGGAAGCGTTTCCTGGTTCTGCTCAGGGGAAAACGCTGGTAAACGAAACACTGCACGACACGGCACAGCACGGCACGACACGGCGCGACACGGACACGAGCCGGTACGAAGAAGGAAACGACAATTACGGGGACTCGACGGTTAGTTTTTCCTGCCGGCGACTCAGTTGCGGCCGTGCAATCGTCGGGTCAACAACGGTAGCTGCCTGCAGCACGAATATTATTATTTGGTTTGAAGAGCGTGCGATGAAAACTGAGGTGTTTATAGCGAAGCACTTATTGTAGAGCCTGTGCAACTTCGTATACGTATACTGAATGTATCCTGAGTGTATCCTATCCGGTATACCTTCAGTATACGTAACACGAGGAAACACCAGCGACGCGGGATGTGTGATATATTTAGATTTCATTGAGTAAACCACCAAATCACTTTGTAAATATTGGAAGAACTGTTAATTTTATATAATAAATGTATTATGTATTTTATATCCGATCAATCTAAACTGGCCGAAAATTAAATTATATTTGTGTTTATGTGATAACCAAACGTCTTTTATTTCATTATCTTGCTTTTTATTCTGCGTGGTTCATGGGTAACACTCTTTAGGCAACCTGTTGCTGTGGCTGTTGATGGACGCCTCTATTCGACGGTAGCCATAGATGACAATGAGAAGCAGCTGACTAGAGCCAGGAGCCATTCCTTAGATACTACAATTATTTTGAATATTTGCTTTTGGGCACAGAGAAAAAATAAAAATATCCTCTAAGTCCATTTATGTTAAATTGTAGCAATTTCAAGCAAAGAGCATTTTTGCCTACCGGACTTAAACTTAGATAAAGTTTAAAAATAAAATAAAGAAAACTTTTTGTTGCCAAAAATGAATTAAGGAATTAATTATTTCTAAGAAATTTACAAATTCATAATAAAAAATATAAAAAAACAATTATATGTAAATTAATCTTCGTTTTATTATTTGGGATATTTATATTGGGATATGGGATATGTACCTTATTGGAGATGGAGGTCATACCATAATACTGTGAAGTATTTTGATAATTCGCTGGGTCCTAGGTGTAACCTTCGGAGGCGCTGATGGGGTCGCTCGGATGCCCCAGCAGCTTGTCGGCGTAGCGGCTGCTATACAAGTTTATCTGATCGCCTACCTTTGTAAAGCGGAGATCGCGTTCGAATATTGACAATTTAAATGATATACGAGAAAATGTGATACAATTCTGATTTGGTGCCTCTGCCTTCAAAAGTAGTTCTTTATCAACGCGTTCATGCATAGCTCTTTCCATTGACCTGCTGCATTTTAGATACATTGACACATCTTCATACTAATTTGTCATTAGCCATTGCTAAAGGGTAATCAAGTGGAAACTTAGCTCTAGTTTTATATCCCATTATTTGTTGTTAAATAGCAAAATCTTTAGAAAATCTGTAATATAACATACAATATATGCAATGCTGAATTTATCTGTTAATTTACTTCCATATTATTATAATTATTTGGAGGTATTATTTACGTATCGAAGCCCATAATAAAATAAAATCAAGCTTGCACAAAATATAGCAGGCAGGCTATTCAGATAATAAAACCCATTCCTTCCAATTTCTAAACATTGTACAGCGCTATAGGCGACAGTTTTTGCAACTCATTCAGCGCCATCTATTGCTTAAGGCCCGCATCTAAAGTTCAATGCGTTTCCATGGACTGCGCAAAATCTCATAAGCGAAGATAGGGGATGAACGTATTCTAATTAGAACGAGAAAAAAATACTGATGATTGATAACCTTAAATTTCAATCAAAATCGTTTGATGATTTAGGTTTGAAGTTAGGAATTGGAAACTGCCGCCTCAGTTACATAAAGATGGTAAGGATTTTTAATTCGAACATAGTTTTAATATTTGACTTTATCCGGATGGATTGGATTAGCGACATTTTGTTGATCGCGTCGACGGCTGAGAAGCCATTGAACCTCAGCAATCGACGCACTTCACAAGGGGAGACACGGTGCAAGAGGAAAAAACCGGCAACGACAGAGACCAGAGATAACGAAACGAGAAACCTACTTGACAACAAACACAAAAACAAAAACAACAACAACAACAACAACAGCAAAAACAGCAAATGAATTTATGAACATGCGGCGCTCCGGTATCGTCTGCCAGACCCGTCAACTTCCCTGTCTCTCTCCTCTACTCCCTCCCCAATGGAATGCAATCGGTTGTCATGGCAACAATGGCCGCGGCGAAGGAGCGCACAAAGAGCAGACCAAGAAAATTTAATTCGGCCATATTTGATTTTGGAAATGCTTAAATTGTTGTTGCTGTCATTGCCATTGCCACGACTTGTCGTTCCTATTCACGTTCTCGCTCTCGCTCTCGCTCTGCTTGTTGCTCTCATTCTCCTTGTTCTGGTTTTTGCTCTTGTCCGGGTCTTCTTGGGGTGGTTTTTAGCTGGTACTCGCAGTGCGATTGCTCGCTCGGCACATTGCTGGGATTTTGACTGATGTCGTATCTGTTTCCATATTCCATTATTTGCATTGAACTAGAACTGTCCCTATCCATATAGACATATATACGTAGGCATATAATTAGACTGGTATAAATAGTATAAATAGAATATGAATATACATATAAATTTCCCCGTTCGCTTGAACTTTTGATGTTATCTCTTGGCTCATAGCTCGAATGCTATCAGCAAGAAGAACACCATCTTCGACGTTTTTTATGATGATGTGTAGTCGGTTTAACGATTGGGCAATTAAGAAACTGTGCGCTAAACACGTCTTTAAAAACAAATAAATCACCTCGACATTGTCTGTCGCCCATTCAGATTTATATCGTAAGGCATAGCGTCTCAAATGCTCACCCATATGTATTTAATATGCAGTGGAGGCTTATGCGCATAAATGGGCATCGATTAACTATAAAATTAACGATTTACGGCCCGATTCTTCAAATTGGAAGCACGTAAGCTTGGCGTTTGGCAAATGGACTCTCCACTGTGTCTGGTCACGAGTGTACAGGGTATAATATGTTGAAATAAAGCAGAGTGCTTTATACCCTTCTAACTGATCGCACGCATCAAAATATAAATACCACCGCAATATTAAGACTGTGCAAAAAGAGAAGCGCAATTGAATTGTTATTTATATCTATTAAATATGTATGTAGGATAAATTGCGCATTTTCTTGTATGTTTACCTATTTGTATAAAAACATATATATATATATTATTTATATATTCAATGTTTACAACAGCACGATTTGATTCGCTGCAGCTTTCTTCGTGCTTGAAATTTCTTATTCTAATTTTTTAAAGAATTGCCTTGCTTATTATCAGTTTAGTTGAACAATTTCACAATATTTTGTTATCTCACTAAATGAAAAATCATATCGGAAGAATCTTGGCATTTTACTTTGTCAGCAATTTTAATGTTTCTTAACATTATAATTAAAGTTGTAGCCTGTTACTAAAACCGTACTTGTGACCAGCCCTATGATATCGAAACAACAACCAGTTTATAAAAATCACTTGTAGGCTTAAGAATACTCTCTATAACAAAGTCATGACACTATTTGTATATCCGCGGCAGTAAAATACGTCAAAGACTTTTATTTGGTCTTAAGCATTTTGCGCTTGTTCCCGGTTTTACCTCACTAAAATTACAGTTTGAAAGCTAAGAATAGTGTTCCAGTCAGGAGTGCTCGACTCATAGATACCCTTTACCCAGCAGCGAGCTGTCATAACACTCATTCCAGCACTATGTGCTGCAGCTATGTTTGTCTTCCCGAAAGCCCGTATTCCTTGACTCTTGAGTAACGGCACAAGGCTGTATCTTTCTAAAGAGTATTTAAAGTGCATACGAAATAAGAAGGTACTTAATAATTTTGATGTTTCTGGCTGTTATGAGCTCAGAGACCTGCATGAGCATATGAAAGTCGATTCTTATCGATTTCGTAGAAACGTGGTGTCTTATCAACAAAACCTTATTTTCCCGTGCAGAAGCAGAAGCAGAGTCTAGATCTGAGATCGACGCACTTGAACTAATGGCAAAAAAACGAACGGGCAGTCAGACAGACGACCATGGCTCAATCAAATCGACTGTTTATCCTTTATGGAGTAGAAAATAACTTGTTCTACATTTAAACACATTTGCACGAAATATTTACACTTTTTTTGTTACCAATTTTCAAGGGGAATAGCGTAGCAACTACTAACAGAAATATTGTAAATTCAAATAAGTTTTTTTTTCATAAATTTTTAAACATTTCGACATTAAGTTACTTTTCCCAAGGGGTTTATAGTAAAGTATACTGAGTTGTCGTGTTTTATATTTGGTCACACTTTTGCTATGGTCCTTACTTTTGCTATGGTTTAACGCCTTCATTATTCGGTTAATTTGCTGTCTTTCAAAGACTCTGTTTTTTTTTTTTCTAATGTAGACTTACCTATGCGTAAAGTATCCATCCGCTAAGTCTGTAAAAAGAGAGGAAAAAGATTAATAAATAAATTATAAAGTATGCATTTATAAAATCCGTCAAAAAATATCGCAATTGGTGCGTATAAATATTCGAATTTGCAAGTAATTTTATGAATTCTTTGGGTCATTTAAGCGTCTCGCCTTTGGTCAATCGAGGCACATTGAACTGCTCAGAAGCTTGTCTCCGAATTGGATGAGCACGACGAGCCAAGAGAGACCATTATTTGCATTACTTTAAGACAAAGATTTTAGACGATTCGTTGTGGAATAACGAGGTGCAAGCCAAAATCGGGGAAATCAAGTCTGCTGAAGTAATTTATGCATTTCTTGTTCAGCTTGAACGTCCACATGGAACTCGTATTAATTCTTAAAAAAAAAAGAAACCCTGACAGATATATGTGTGTATATATAATATATATTGTTAAACGTGCATTAAGGAGGGAGACGGACGATCGCTTGAGCTCGAGTCTGGGGCTGGATTTGTGCTTTGCGACAGGCCACAGAAAATACAATGAAATTGAATTTTTAAATGCATTTGTCGATTGCGAGTGGGATTTTGACTTGGTTGAGGGAGACGGGGGCAGACACAGAGACAAGGGTATGTAAGTGGTCAGATAGTCGATTCCCGGGCATGCAACTGCAATAAATAACAAGCCAACTGACAGGCATCATTTTGAATTCCTGCGGACGACCTTCTGTCAGAAGACATCAGCAAGTGTCTGGATGCGTCATGAATAATATACGATATATGCATGAATATGCAAAGCTATATAGATATGTGTAGATACATAAACATATTTACACATATATACGTGAGTTTGAATGTGCACACATATGTGCGGCATTTGAGAATTTCACTCTGATAGCTCGTATGCGCAAGTCTTTTAATAGCCAACCGGCCCACGTTCTGTAGCAGAAATCCATCGTGCCTCATTTGGCGACCTCGAAATCATAATTCAGCGTTTAATGTTCCTTTAAAGACCATTAAGTCAGCCCTTAAGGCAACTATGTGCCTCTTTAGAAGGGCCAGGGACAACCACTTTTTCCCGAGCATTCAGTGTGCAATTAAAATTTATAATTGCAACTCTTTGACGAGCGGCGCACGGAGAGGAAACTAGTCAAGACAAAACAGCCCAAGAAATTTTTCGCCTTTTGACGATTTTTTAGATTTTCACTTTATTTGCGAGACTACACAAAAACAACATCTCCTGCAGTAAAATGAACGGCAAGCGACCATTAAAACTAATTTATGATCTTTAAAGGCGAAAGCGAGAGTTCCGCATACATTTAGATGTAAGGACAGAGGCGGTTCGAGTTCGTGCCTGGGCCTGGCATTTGGTTAAGGGAAACATATGCAATAGTTACGGTTGGAAGCGGCAGACTGCCAAGAGGAAGGATTAATATTTTAATAGGGCAATTTTCTGGTCGATAGCTGAATTTTGCAACAAATTGTTTTACGATCACACAATGTCTTACGCGTGGCGTACGCATTCTTCTTAGTTGAAAATATACTTGCAACTAAACTCAGAAGTTACAAAAGGCTATGTGTTTTTGTTTTATAAATTTAAAGAACTTTTTTGCTGCCTCAACATTGTTTAAGATACTGTATTGTGTCTCATAAAATATACGATATAATTAAAAGCCTTAAATGATTTTTTCTATTGAAGAAATTTATGTATTGTATTATGAGTTCAACAGCTGACAGGTTTTACTGGTTGAGCGAGAAGTTGCTAAATGCTAAAAACAATGCTAAAGTATAAAAGCGACCAACTGATTCCAGGCGAGTCCAAGGGAATGCGAAAGGTGTCAAATATCCCCATATATGTATGTTAGGTCATATCTATTCAAGCTCATAATATGCAATAATATTAATAATCAAAATGATACTTATTCTAGATGATGATTGGATATATAAAGTGTTAACAATGCCGACCACAGTGAAGCGCCTAAAATGGAGTCAAATGAACTCATTTCGTATGATTTGCATGCAAAATGTCTAAACACGCAAAACAAAAGCCATCAAAAAGATGTGACATTAATGCAAATTCGGTAATGGCGTATAAAATGTCGTGAGCTAGTCTTAGCATTCTTAGGTGAGTGCTTTCGAGGACCAGTTGCTGATCCGGTCTGGAGATCAAAATGCAAGCGAGTACCACTACAGCTAAAAGCAACTGCATCTAGACATAATTGGATAAGAGCAAGAGACCTTTTAATCTCCATATGGTAAGAGATCCCCCCGGCGACTGGCTGCCATTTATGAGCGGACTGTAAGCGCCTAAATTAAACATTTAAATGCGCCATTAATTGCGCGGTAAGTGTGCCAGATGCACATGCTCATGCCGGGATAGTAGCTCTGTGGGCAAAAGAGAGATGCAAAGAAGGTACAACAGAGACGGCGACTGCGACTGCCTTTTCCTCGCACTGACAGCGCACTGCCAGGCAAACAAAACAAACAAATTCCATTATTTAAGTGCTCAGCGGTGCATTCGTTAGCCACAGTTTCGATTCCCATTCTCATTTCCCGCTGCCCTAACCCACTGGCTTTTACGAGCGTTCGAGTCTTCTTCCATTAAGGAGCGCCGGGTTTGAGGTCTGCCAATCCGATACTTTCCCGTCCCAGTTGCGCTCCTTGCCGGCGCTGGCACGGACAGGTCCCGCAACTGAAGCTTTAGGCACATTAACTTTGTGTTTTTAATGCACAGAATTATAAGCAATACAATCGACGTTTTACGATATTTAAGTTGACAGTTTTCGGCTTAAATTCTGTCGTTCTTTTTGTTTTTGATGCTCCCTGCCCTGAGCTTTCAACGTCCTGCCGCATATTGACACCTATTCTGGTATTTTCTCTGTTATAAGGAAGTTTTCTTTGGTATACTTTAAGCAAATAATCAAATAAAATTAAAACAAGATGCTCCAATCCGGAGTGCATGTTTGTATAACATGCGAACTTTCCGTATAAAAACAGCTTTAGCTGCTGTTGTGCCTCTTCTTCTCCTAGACTAAAGGAAAATGTTTTCTTGAAATACTTCGTTGTATATTGTATGATTCTTTCAATAAAATTTCAGGGCACGAATGCTCTTTAATATGTATAAATACCAAATTTCAAGGCAAAAGTTTAAAAAAGTGTTTTTACAATCTAAAAAGCTAAATATTTTGAAACTGTATCTACTATACAAATTTAATGCTTACGGTTTTGGAGATAGAATTATTGATTGCCGTAGAAATTGTTAATCTCTGCCTCTTATTATTTTAGAGATCGAAGCTTTAATCAAGACGGAAGAACCCACAGATAGATGGACATGGAGAGAGACTGTTTTTTTGCCATAACCCGATATTACCACTAGTTAAAATATGCGTACATAGACCGAAAAATGTACAATCAGATATATCAAAGGTATTCAACTTTGTTTCAAGTCAAAATATTATTCCTATGGTCATAGAATATTGAAACATTTATATTTACACCAACAAGCTAAGGTTATTTTAATCTTATTCAATCTCTTAAGAGAAATTTGAAGCCGTTTAGCAAAACATAATAATAAAACTCTTTCAGAAATTTAAACAATTTGAAATGGGATAGCAGGGTGGAACTATGTGGGCGGGCAACAGCTGGACAGTGAATGAAAACCCAAACAAAGGCCGCAATTAACATTAAATCCTTCGCGAGGGTATGTACTGGTCCAGGCTTGGGCGTGGGCCTGGAAGCGGAAATGTTTAAGGTTAAGGGAAGTCTTCGACGGTGTGCCTCGACAACAATGTGCTTGTATATGAGCCTATGTGTAATTCGGACTTGACTTAAATTTAAGAAAACACAAAATGCCTCTTCTCATGTTGGCTGGCAAACAATTTCACATAACTTTGCATCAAAATACAACCGCCAATATGTACAAATGCACAGAAGGGAGCATCGGGCGCAAGGTAATGGGCAGGCGCAGGAGTGGGGCTAGAAGCCCTGCCCAAACTTTTGCTTAGCTCTCATTTCTTTTTGGCAAACACGAAAATGTATTCCAGACACGCATCGGGCCATTTTGCAAACGTGCCACCGAGTGAGTCTCGAGCTAAGAGGGGTGGCGGTCGAGGACGCGCCCATCAACTGGCTTCGCATCCGCCCACACAGTCATCTGCTCGATGAAATTTTCTGCCTTATGCGCCCCGGTAGCAAATCACAAAAAAGGGCAAGGGCAAACTTTTTGCAAACATAAGTAAAGTTTGAATTTGGCAAACATAAATTATTTGGTTATATTGCGAGGCCCACGCGATGGCGAATGGATCCCCACGGCCTTGCCATAGTTTTTCATTTTTTCGTACATTTTATAATCGCTAGCAAAAATGTATGAAAGAAGTAAATAAATAAAAAACTCTCACAGCTTGGGAGCTGCTCCCCAATTGGGTGTGGCACTGTCCCCCATGGCCCCCACCTCCCCTGCTCATCCTTAAGGCCATGCCATTTGCCTGTCTCCTGTTTCATTTCGCCTCGTAGCTCGTCGTTTGCCATTTTCCCTATACCGAGCATGGGGCGAAACTTTTCCTGTTATTGCATTTGTTGCTCTTGCTGTTGCTTTTGCAGCCTGGCTACAGATACTTTGTGCTTGTAACTTATGGATACGACAGCAGCAGACGGAGCAGAAGCACCAGCAAGGTGTGCAAATTGCCAGAAAAACAGAAGGCGGACAGCAAGGAGGACGTCCACCTTGAAAGTTGTGGTGTAATTTGTATCTAATCTTGCCTCATGTTTATATAAAAGCAACGACGACCTGGAGGAAAAACTTCAGCAGCAGCGCACACACTCATACACTCACACACACACATACACACTGGCAATTTGTGCAATATGACACTATCAAGGATGCCCTCATCCTTCTTGTCATGATTCGTCCTGTTCCGTGCAGTCCTCGTCTGCGTGGCATTATTCAAACTTAAAGCAACATATATGCGAGTGTACTAGTATACTATACATATACTTATATGTACGTATCGTATATAAATGGGGACTGCT